CCATAAATGTATCTCTTTACTTAGGAGCTACCTTCCTACCAAACAAATTCCTTCCAAGCCTTGGCCAATTTGGAAAGTTGTCCCAAAGGATGGCTGAATTCTTCTATATATAATAAAGAAGGACAAAGATCTCTATCTCATTATTTATGTAAATTTTATTGGATATTTTGGTGGATTTCTTAGTGGTGTTCGGTCCTTTATTCTTGTATTTTTTTTAAAAAGGAAAACAAGTCAATATACTTAGCAAAAAAAAAAAAAAAAGAAGATTAGTACAAGGTAGCTAGGCAATAATCACGTGTTATGGTGCTAGTCAACACCCACACCATTAGAGTGTTTCGTAAGACACCATAAAAAAAAAAAAAAAAAAAAGAGAAAAAAGAAAGAAAGGAGAAGAGAGCGATACACTAGTTAGCTCCATCTAAAGCATACATGCGCATAACATATATATAATGGAAACACATGCTCTTATTTCCTCTTGTGATGTGGACAATAAAGCACCGGTGATTTTCCGGGAATCTTGTGTTTTTTCTCTCTCATTTAACTTAAAGGTTCATGAAGCAATTTTTTTTAAAAAAAAGAAAGAGGTTTTCTTGTATATAGATATTTGATAGCAAGAAAAATGTTAATGATGTTCTTAATGAATTAGTTGGGGCTTAGAAGGTCTAAGGTAGGTCTATAAGCAATTATTTTCAAGTTTTATACAAAAAGCCTCATAACAAGCCTATCACATGTTTCACTTTTTATTTTTTTATTACATTTGAAGGTTCATGGCAAGCCTATCGCATACTTCAAAATTTATTCATCATGCGAGGTGAGACTTGCAACAAGTATATTATAGTCACTCTTATGAATGTGGTGATTCCATTTCATTGACGATTTACAAGGTGAACATAAATTCATCTTTTATTTAGGTCATTTATGTTAGGTCCATTTTCTATCTTTATTGTCTCTCTTACTATACATGATTGTACAAAGCATCATTTTTGGTAATGTTGTCTATGTAGGGAAGAATGTATATGCTTGATTTGTCACTAAAATTAATTAAGTAATTTAATTAATTTTTCATGTATTATTTTATGTTATTTTTTCTTTCTTAAGCATGATTCCAAAATGAAAAAAAAAAAAAAAAGGATTCTTGATGGGCTTCATCCAATACAAGGTTTAGAGCACGTAAGGATGAATCTAAATATTGTAACAGGACCAACATATATGCCTTGTAATTGTGATGTATTAGGAATAGTGACTTGGTGGACTTGAAGAAGGATTTTCTATAAAGAAGTTTTAATTGTTACTTCATTTGGAATTTATTATCAAGTTGAAGTATTTTAACCCAAAAGAGTCTTTATTTTTTTCGGCTCAAAATCTGATCGTTTAAATATGAATGATGTGATCCCATTAATAAAACATCATATTTCTTTAACTATAAATACCAACCGTAGAAAATTATGAGGGTGATGCTAATACCATAAATTAATTATTTAGAAACCCATGAACAAGATGAATCATTCTCAAGAAAGGTAAATCAAATTTTTAAACATGTAAACCTTGACCCAATGCCTCTAAAAAAGGCACGAACCAAATGGATAAGAAGGATATTGATTCCACACTCTAGAAAAGATGAGAATGGGAATGATAATCATATTTTGAACGTCACAAGTTTTATCAATTAAAACTTGATAAGTTCTATAAGTTCTTTAAAGGATCAAGGTGAAAATACCTCACTTTTATTAAGATCAAAAGTCTGCTCAAAATTCATACATATTAAAGCCTCTTTATAGGTTGAAACAACATAACATCCTAATAGCCTAATTATGTCCCAATCTCTAAAATAGGAATCTCCTAAGATATTGGAGAATAACTTATTCATAGCTGTCAAAATTAAAAACATGCTTAAATAAGGCTAATCCATAAATTAAAGCAAATCCATATTATATACTAATTACATTAACATTTCATTGACTTTCTTTATTCTCATCTTTTTCACTTTTTTCAAAAATATTCATCCTCAAATCTTCATCTTGATGCTTATCATACTCTCTCATCTAGAGAACACTCATCCTCGAGTCTTGTAATAACAAAGTATCAAAAACATATGCGCGTACCCAATCTATAAAATAAAAACAAATAATGGCTAAAAAAAATTAAGGTTTAATTTTTTTATCGTTGGACTCCTCCAGAAGGAACATTTTGATATATGATATATTCTCTTGAACATACACAATCTTCTCATTGATGTCATCCTCTTGTACAGCCTATAAGATTATCAAACTCGTCCTCCGTTGGCTCTTCTTGTTATTTTGTCAAGTCATCAATGAACACGAGACTTTTCTCATTTAATACTCTCTAACTTCTCCTCAAGTACTAGTTCTCTTAAATTAAGATTGAATTTAGATCCATCAGCCTTGGGCTTGTAATCAACTTTAGTATCTTTTTTACTCCAACTCGATTTTCAAGTGTTGGAATTTGAATTCTACCAAAATTGAATAGAACTCTTCCTCTTGAGTTGCTTCTCCACCTTTATAGCCATGTTCACAATATCATCCATCTCCAAATAATGCTAAAACTCCACTATATTGGCAATATCATTCATTGAGACCTCACGAAATAGAGCCATGGTGGCCTCTCTATCCTCCTCCACATTAGCTTGAATCATAGCAACCTCCATCTCCTTGTGGCACTCCTCCACGATTTGGTACCCTAGGTAAGCCTTTATAATTTTTGATGTAGTTCCCTATAATAATGACCAGGGAAAACCTCTTCCTCATAACAACCTTCATTTTTTTCCAAGTTTCAATAGGCCTTTCAAGATTTCTTCTCCTAGTCAAAACAAACAGATTCAACCAAATAATGGCATAATCAATAAACTAAGTACCGAGTAAGTTTTACCCCCTTTTTTTTCCTTAGAGTATCGATGGTAATCAAAGATCAACTCCACTCTCTTCTCCCATTCCAAATATGCTTACGGGTTATTCTTCCATTGGAATAGAGGAATGTTCATTTCGACGTCGCTTAAGTCTCTCGTCATACTAATTTCTCTTCCAAAAATCTCTCCTACAACCTTGTTTATTACCATATATAACCATGGATGCGTGATCATTAAAATCATCATCATCCCGCTCACTATCGTACTCATGGTCTCATCTATCCTGTCTTTTTACATTGGGAGCCTCACGACCTCCTTGTTCCTTTTGCAATTCAATGATGATGGCATCGTATCTTTCTAACGGATCGATTATATCATCAAAATTGGTGTTCATACATTGAAACTCTTGTTGCATAGCTTTTCGCAAGAATGACACATTAACATGCCGCTTGTCCGCTACATTGTTATCTTTGGAAGTCATTTTATTTTGCTGGTAAATCTCTAAAAATTGGTTAAAGAACCTCATAAGACATTTCCTTGTATGTTTCACTCAATTTATTATCACTCAACCCTCATGTTTACTCTCTTCATGGCTTTTACTAAAAATGAGCTCACACTCTTTCCTTTTACCACTCAATTTTTTGCCCTTTAGTTCTTTCTTGAATTAAACAAACTCAACAAGATCAAAAGATACAAAATGTGGCAAAGATAGATTCAAATATCATAATTAACTAAACAAAATAGATTTAACTCTATTTAGACATATTTGACACGAAACAAATTGAATTGACAACTTGAATAATTGAACAAAATTATCAAAGGAATCGACTTAGGTGTTTTTAGTGCACCAAAGAACACAAGCTGATTTATTGTTATATGCAAACACAATGATTCTAAGCTAATTCACATTTATTTTAAATGAACCAATAGCTACACATAATTTTATAGATAGAATTTCACGTTATGTAGTAGTTGATTTTTTTAGCACTCTTTCGCACGCAACAAAAAGGAATAAAGTTGGAATGAATTCAATGAATATGATTCAATAAGGTATAAGATATCAAACAAGAATCCAAGACAGTTTTTTTTTTTTTAGGACAATCGAGAAAATGAACTAGCTTAACAAAAATAACATAAACAAATAGACACACAAAGATGAGCACAATCTATGTGAAAAAAAGGATAGATAAAACCCGATTTTAGACCTTTGCTATGATACCAACCGATGTGAACCCGATAAATCAATTGTATAAAAACTCACGAACAAGATGAACAATTGATGTGAATCTCGTAAATCAATTGTTTAGAAACTCATGATAAAGATGAGTCATTCTTAAAAAAGCTAAATTAGATTTTTAAACGCGTAAACCTTGACCTAATGCTTATAAAAGAGGCTTGAATCAAAAGGTATAAGAAGGATATTGACCCCACACTTCGGAAAAGGTGATCATGGAAGTGATAAGTTATGTTTGAACGGGACAATTTTATCAATTAAAACTTGATAAGTTTTGTAAGTTCTTGAGAGAACCAAGGTGAAAATAAACTACTTATATTGAAATCAAAAGTCGCCCAAAATTCATACATATCAAAGCCTTTAAACAACACAACACCCTAGCAGACCTAATTATGTCTCAATCCCTAAAATGTAAAAATCTTCTAAAATATTGGAATCTTCTAAGATTGAAGAATAACTTATTCGTAGTCGTCAAAACTAAAAACATGTCTAAATAAGATAAATTCATAAATTAAAGCAAATTCATATTCTATACTAATTATATCAACACAGCTTTGGACATTTTTGATTCTCATCGGATGAAATATCAATTCTTTTTGCAAACTTTTTATCGAGGTTATAATATTTTGCTCTCAAGACATGATCTCTTGCTAATTAGAATTGTCTCTCAAAACTCTCTTACTCTCGTAGCACAACTCTCAAAACTCTATTTGTTTGAATTTTAATTACTTACCTAATATGTTATTCAATTTGCGTTTTGCTAACATTTTAAGTTCTTCATCTCAACTCTCTATTTGCATCTATTCTTCTTATCAGTGAATGGTTGTTTGCCTAAATTACAACACTAGTTTTTAATATCTTTAACGATCTATAAACCAATTATTTCACTTATTCTCGAGAACTCTACACACAGCAACCATTAAGAGATTGAGCCACGCCTAAAAGGTCAATCTTGAAAGAGCCAACCTGACTTGGACTATGATTAGACTTTTGATTTCTCTTGTATATTTTGTCCAGGTCAACGAGCATTCTTCCCGCAAAACCTTTGCACCAACATGGATTTGAAAAGTGTCCACTCAAGAAACAAGATTGGTCTGTTTCTATTAATTTGTGCAGGGACATTGAACTTGTAATATATTAAGTGGAATAAGGTCATGATTGTTTAGCAGCGTAAATTGGCATGTCTATGATTCTTTTTTTTTGCAATCAATTAGCAATGTCTAAGGCTTTTTTCGACGATACCTTTGAAAAATTCCAAAAAACATTTCCCTTACAATACATTTTTCAACACATCTTTCTTTCTTTGAAATTTTATTTTTATTTTTATTTTCTTTTTAGATAAATAAACTATCCTATGAAATAGCTTAATTACAAGGCTGGGACATCAAATTTAAAATGTAAGAGACTGAAGATCATGATTTGATTTCATAAATATTAATTAAACCCGTGTGAGCTAAGTGTTGTTCAGGAGGGATTCCTTTGAATGCAAAGTTTCATATATTGTTGGTTCTTAATCAGAAGAAACATCACCACGGACAGAATCTCTCGACAATATATCTTCAATTCTCTTGATTAAATAAGATATTGGTGTAATGTTTCTAGCACATTCAAAAGAATTTGTTTCTATTGGTATAACCATATATGCAGGCTTCTTACAGGACCGAATTTATTACCTTTCTTGACCTTTTCTGATCTTGTTTTTTTTTTTTTTTCTATAACTTTTATCTACTTGTCCTTGTCTGTCATTAGTGGCTTCCAGACCACAACTTGTATAGGGCATTATATATAATGTGGGTGGGGTTGTTGACAACTTCTATGGGATAATTGCAGCATGAGTATATCAATTTTAATTCCAACTATATGGATTTTTTTTTCTTTTGAATATATTAGTTTTTTCAAAAATTCCAGCTTAGTACTTTCTTCAAGTTTTTTGTTAACTGACGACGTATATGTTATTTTTAAAATATCAAATTATAATTTTATTTTTTTCCTTCAATCGAGTACATAGATTTTTTTTTTTTCATTTGAGTACATTAATCTTTTTAAAACTATCAATTAAGTATTTTTCTCAATTTCTCTATTAACAATTGATGTGTTCATTATCTCTATCTAAAATACCAAATTATAATTTTGTCATGTTTTTGTTGAAGGAAAATTTTCCAAACTTGTTTTTTAAATTGAAGAGTGATTCTTTCAAGTTTTAACCACAAACTTTTTTAAGAACACTCGCTTGGCAACCAATGCAATTTTACGATCGATTTTATTTAATTGATACTTTTTTTGACACTTTTTATTATTATTTTCTTTTAAATTTAGTTTTCTCTAAAAACTCCAAGAAACTAATAGTAGAATTTTATGATTGTATGTTGAATTTTAATGTGTTTCCTTCAAAATCAATTGATGAAATGGATTGAAATCACCTGAACACAACCAAAGGCGCAATTAGTGTGTGGGTTAGTGTCAAAAGTCATTAAAATAGTTATGATTAGGACTTTGAGATTTCCAGAGGGACCCTTTTGATTATTAGGAATGCATGGTAGAAGAAAACTAAGGCGGGGATTGTTGGCATATAGTAAATTTTAGGATAATGTTATTTAATGCTACGTAAGGCCAGTTGGTTTGAGGGTGTAATAGAAATTTTATAATATTTAAAAAATAATTATTGTATATATACAGTAATTATTTTATTATTTTATGAACCTATTTTTTATATATAGTAATTATTTTTTAAGTATTATAAAATTTTTTGTAATGTGAGTTGCCAACTTTTTGTTTTGTATAACAATTAATGAGAACGGTCTCTTTAATTTTTATATCTAAACTTAACCGATTTTAGTTTGAGATTTTACAATTAAAAAATATATTTTTTAACTTTGTCAAAATTCAAAATGGTAAAATAATTTGAGAGATTTCTTCCAATAAAAAGAAAACAAATTTAAAATTTAGTATTCTAGAAGTACTAAACATTTCATAAGTTAATAAAAAAATTGACGCAAGTCTGTAATTGTCATTTAAAAAAACCAATTTTCTAAAAAAAGTTTAAAATCTATACACTCACTTGAGAAAAATAAAATTATAATTTGATATTATGAAAATAACAAATATGTCATTACTTAATAAAAAATTAATGAATGTATTTGATTGATGATTTAAAAAAAAATGTATTAAAGAAACAAAAATTAAAACCTATATAAGCTGTTGACAAAAAAAAAAAAAAAAAAAACAAAAACAAAAAAAAGTTAGTATACTTATGGTACATTTTCCCCAAACTCTGTTATTAAGAAGAAAAAGAAGGTAACAAAATCAAACCCAACCCAGTTGGGAAAACTACACCTCACCTACACTCTCACCTACAACAATCTTTTTGTCACTTTGAGTGCCGGTTTGACAAAAGGGATTATATATATATTTGGGTTTTTGTTTTTATAATTTAAATCTAATAAAAAGTACTTGATAAATTCTAAAAATTGTTTAAAAAATAAAATAAAATTAAGAGTTATAAAATGAAAATTTTGAATTTTCAAGTATTATATAATATAAAATAATTTTAATAATACATGTCAACTTCGTATTTATAATTATAAATACTACAATTACAGCTTCAATCAATGCAAAAACATATAGTTAAAATCTATTGTCGTTCCAAACGGATCCTCAATGATTTTCTGTTTTCTACATTTAAGGCACTATTCTATTTGCCATTAATGAATCATTCTGGAGACCAGAATATTCAAGTGCACGTCTTACAATGAGAATTCACCCTTTCCGGCAGCTATTTTAACCTCTGCTACGACCCTTTTCCTCGACCTTTTCCGTACAGCGTGGTAAGAGCTCTAAAGTCTGTTTGGGACTAGACCAGACCTAGCATGATTGTTCAATTATGACCCATTGGTCGCCTTTTCTCGCTAAACTATTTCTTAATCATGGGGTTGAATGATTGAGGTAAAAAGGAAATCCCATTTGCTTGGAGGGCAGGCGTCAAACAGTGAATAGAAAAGCAATTGTTGTTTCATACGCACAGCTAAACATCCATCATGTAATACTTTTAATTTGGATAATTGGAGTTTTAGGTGGTAGAGGTCCTTTCATTAATCGGCAAAACATCCTTTTTTTTTTTTTTACTTAAAAGAAAGAGAGGGACAAATAATAGATTTCAATTTCACAAATAAAAAAATGAATTTAAAAAAGCAAAAAGAAAAATTACTATATTTTTTCCATTTTTTTATATACCACTTGAAATTTTTATTTTTATTTTTCATTCACACTAGCAAAATTTTTTTATTTAATTTGAAGAAGTTAAAAAAAAATTGATTATTATTTTTTGGTTAAATTTTCACTTATTATATTAAAAAAAATATTCTATTGATCATTTAGGTATTGTAAATCAAAACATGGTCTAATAATATTCAATGAAGGATAGACTGACGGATTTATTGAGGAATTAAACTTGGTTATAGTAAATATGTATTTTTTCATTGGCATGATTTTTCAATTTAATAGTTAGTGAAAATTTTGATTTTATGTGTTCGAGTATTTCTAATTTTAAGTTTTTTCTTTGAATTTTAAAAATAAAATTAAAAAATCAGCTAGAAAAAATCCAACATGAATAAATAAAAATTTAGCTAGAAAAATAAAAATAACACTCGAATCATAAACATATAAATAATTAAAAAATTATTTTAATCATTTTTTTTATTTTTTCCTTTTGTTCTAGCTATAATATAATATAATATAATATAATATAATATATTTTAATTATTTTTTAATATTTTTAATCAATTTTTATATTTTCAAAATAAAACCGATAGAAATCAGACACATGTCCCTCGTTTTCTTTTAAAGTCAAAATTAATAGAAAAATAGCTTGACCATGACCAATGGAGGAAGCTCTGCAAGCTAACAAACCAAACCATATGAACTGAATTGTCGAAATTGAAATCACATAACTGTTTTTGTCAAAATCGATTCCATAAGAGAATGCATAGTCATTAAACCATCAATTGTAAAAATTTGCTGAGCTCGCTAGCAAGCAATTACTTTATCACCAATTATATTTTGACAAAACTAATTTTTTTTCCTTTATACTCACCCTTAATTACATTCTAAACCCTATAATTTTTATTAATTTGTTCCTAATTTGGTCTTTCATTTACAAGTTCTTTTTTGGTCAATTTGTTTTAATAGTTTAATTATAATATGTATACTTTATGTACTGAAATTACTTTGATTTGAAGAAAAATCTACAAAAAAAAGTCAAAGAATATTAAATTTTTCGATCAAGTGCTCATATTTGGTCTTTTATCTACAAGTCAAAAAAAGTTTTTTTTTTTATTTACAATTTGGTCTTTTATTTATAAGTTTTTTTTTGGTCAATTTCTTTTAATAGTTTAATTATAATATGTATACTTTATGTACTGAAATTACTTTGATTTGAAGAAAAATCTACAAAAAAAAGTCAATGAATATTAAAATTTTTGATCAAGTGTCCATATTTTATGCACTATAAACTACATTAATATGAAAGTCAATAGAAAGACTTGAATGAGAATTTTTTTAAACATTTGAGATCAAGTTGATAAAATTTATAAGTTTAGGTCAAAATTGAGAATGAGTTTATAAATTTAAAATTATATTATGGTTTTTTTTCAACAGTGATCTAAATTATGAGAGATTATTAGATGAGAGAGATTAGCGATCATGATTAATGACGAACCGAAAGAAAACGATGACAAAACCTTAACATGATTCCATGAGCATGACCATATATGAGATTGGTCAATAAACTTTACTTAATTAATTGTACATGATTTAGGATGAGCATTATGAGTTTCTCCAAAATCTTCAAACGGTATTACTTCCAATTAATAATGGAATTTTCTCTCCTCTTCATCTAGCTACACACATAGATATTACCATAATCACACAACACTTTGTCTAGTACTGTGCTCCTATTGTTTTTTTCGATACACCAAACTAATTACAAATCAACTACTAAAACAGAAGTAAGGGAATTGTCGGCCTGCAATGTATGAATATGAATAAATAAATAGATAAAATATCACAAAACGAGCAATTAGCAAAGAAATTGTCAAATACCCCGACAATTGCACTTTCACAATCTATTTTAATCGACCAAACTAAACTAGAACAAAAATCCCTGCTGCCCTATTGAATGACAAATCACCATTTCCAATGCTTCGCAGATGTTTGTTTTTGGTCCATTCCAAAAGACACAAAAACTTGTAAGCAACTTCAGTTTGGTCAGCAACATGGATCAATATCGGTATATATGCTCATCACACGTGTTGGTGCTATCAAACTGATTGCCATGTGGGGCCACCTTCGACAAATTTGAACCATAGATCTTCCTAGGAATTTATACAAGCCCACGTATTGGATTGTCATGTGGGGTCACCTTGGACAATTTTCAACCATCGATTATTCTAGGAATTTATACAAGAGCACATGATATTAATCTCTCTCTTGCAAATTGCAAAAGTAGGGACTAATACTATCATAAAATTCTTGAGGGGGAGCTTCCTAGCTTATATTAAAACACTATCATTATTCTTTAGGGGCTTCCAATAATGATTAGGTAAAAGCAAAAAATCATTGCCTTGTATGACTATTGCCACTATAAATGCAAACAAGTACTGTATACAGTTTCTCTCACAAAAGTCTACAAGAGGTGGTGATTTGAGTGCTAGGGGAACTTGACAAAAAGATTTGAGGGGGCACTGGCATTGAGAGAGCGAGGAAGCAACTAAGATGGGAGAAATAACCCCCTTATCACTAAAGCTGCAGCCACCACCTACACACTTTGTGCTGGTGCATGGAATAAGCGGAGGGAGTTGGTGCTGGTACAAAATCCGGTGTCTCATGGAGAATTCAGGCTTCAGGGTCTCCTGTATTGACCTCAAAGGTGCTGGCATCGATCCGGCCGATGCCAATTCTGTTCATTCTTTTGATGATTATAATAAACCTCTCATGGACTTCATGTCTTCCTTGCCTGAAAATGACCAGGTCCTTCACATAAACTACAAGTCTTTTGGGTCATCAACATATATATATATATATATATGTGTAACCAATTTCTTCATATATGATCGCCCTTTATGATTACAGGTTATACTGGTAGGTCATAGTGCCGGAGGGCTAAGTGTAACACAGGCAACTCACAAGTTCTCAAAGAAGATCCGGTTAGCTGTGTATTTGGCTGCCACCATGCTAAAGATGGGATACTGGACAGATCAAGATATCCAAGATGTAAAGTCGTTTTATCCACCCATTTTCTCAACTTTTCTCTAAATTTTGATCCATATTTCGTTGAATTCATACATGATGGTGTGTATATTATATGGCATCAAGTTAATTTTGGCCTGTCTAACAGTGCACATATATGATAGCCAACTGTATCTTGGGCTGTTATCCACTAGATTTGACTCTGAAAAATATGTTATCCATAATTGCCAGCTCTTCCCATATGAAAACAAGTTAGCATTAGTTGTCTCATTAATTATACTGCCATTGAGGGAGTAATTATCTTCAAGCTGCATCAGCACCCACCTAACCTTACAAGCTATATACGGTGTATTACTGATTGAATTACTATTAAGGTTTAACATACGTTTGATGATGCAAGCTAACCTTTCTAAGTCTAACAGTGCCTTACAAATGGGGAGATATTTCCCTTGGCATTTGACTTGATTTGCTTAATTTGAGGAGAAGTTAACATTAAAATGCATTTAAAACTAGTATATGAGGGTAGAGAAGCTAAATAATATTTTGCAAATGTTTCTCCATGTCACTGTACAACTACTAGCATCACGTTTGTGCTTTTAGAATCTCTTTAAAATATCATCTGTGACCATGCTAGCAAAAAGATGCCCATTCTAAAAATACCTTTTTCTTTTCCCTTTCTTTTTTCCATTTTCCTTCTCGAGGAGTATGGGGTTTAGCCGACAAAGACACTGTAAAACTTTCTTTTTTACCTTTTCCCATATATAATGAGATCCTTCTGCATGCCTTTGAAAAATTTTGAAGCTAAAAAAGACAGTGGTTGAACCTGATGCATGTTTGAACTTTGAACCAAATATGCTAGCTAGCCTGTATGTCTTTAAAGGCAGGAAAAAAACAAAAAAACCAGTTGGACAAAAAAATGGCATCGTCTAGCTTCCTCCTATAAGTATGACACCATACTCATAGGGAAATGATTAATTACTTTATGAGCTGGTTATCATATGTATATAATGTATTTCAAAGTGAGGAACATATTCCTTCATGTCAAATTGCAGGGAGTGCCTGACTTATCCTCATTTGGGGACGTGTATGAGCTAGGATTTGGATTGGGATCTGACCATCCACCAACCAGTGCCATTGTCAAGAAAGAATTTCAACGCAAAATCGTCTACCAAATGAGCCCTCAAGAGGTAGGTAGTCTTGCCAATTTCCCCAAACTTAATAATTATCTATGGAGCAATCATTCAATATTTCCGATTTCTATGCATTTTCTCTTGCTCGTTAAAAGAAACTAAAAGACATGATATATTTGTTGTTCGTAAACTATTCATACTCTTTCATTTAAATGTTCACATCATGGTTTTTTTGTCATTTAATCCGGTTCTTGAGTTTTGCTTGCTATTATTATTATTATTATTATTTGCATATAAAGACCCTTTTATTTTACTCTTAATTTTTATCATGTCATTAAGTGGATTTATGAAATTCTATATTTGTCCTTAACTGATTTGCTTTTTTTATTTTTATAGCTTTTTTCTTTCGTCATTTCCTTTGCTTTTGATAGAGCATTTAATGCTCATGTAATCTTCATTGCTTTTTTAGCAATTACAATTCAAGAATAAATTATAAATTAATCTGTTTCCACAAACAAATTAATTAGCTAGTTTATATGATTTCAAAAATTAATTATTTAATTTTCTTTGACTTTTTCAATTTATTTTAATTTTTCGCTTTAACATATAGAAAGGAATAAAAAATAAGTAAAAATATGAAAAATTAATAAAAAAGAAAGATATTTTATAATTAAAAAAATAATTGCGGTCAACAATATTTAAAATAATTAAATAATTAATTTTTAAAATTAAAAAGATTAATTAATTAATTTCTTGAAACAAGAGAGGTTAATTTATAGTTTACTTTGTAATTGAAGGACCTTCATCATCATTGTTTTCGACTGATTTCTTTCATATAAATATTCTAACTTATATAAAAAGAGTGCATTAAAAAGAATTGTATTAGGAATAAGAAACTAAATGATTTAATAAATATGATATAGTGATTTTATTTTTATGTCCAAAGTTGTAGTCTAGAGACACTTTTATGGTTTCTTTTAAAAAAATGCTTATTTTTTAAAAATCTAATACAAATACTTTTAAAAATTAACTTTCTCATCAATATTATAAACATTTATTTTAAATCTTAACATTTTTATTCAATTTTCAAAAAAATTAACCGTTGCTTTATTTTCTCAATACAATCATATAAAATAAATAAATAATTAATATATATATATATATATATATATATATGGTTGGATCTTCGATAAATTGAAACCTACATTTATGCTTCCCTTGAAAAAATTTCTTATTTGATGGTTGGTTTAGTTTTTGAAGGATTTTTTTTTCTTAAGTAGTAACTCAAATCTACATGCATCTGTATTGATTTTGTGTTTTTTATTTATTTATTTATGCTATTTGCAATTTATTTGACCAAATGTTCGAGTGCTAAAGGTATAATAAAATTGCTATTATATCATTGATAATATAAATATATATATAATTGTTGCTTTATTTTCTCGGTACATATATATATATATATATATATATATATATATATATATATATATATATATATATATATATATATATATTTCGATAAATTGAAATTTGCATTTTAAATTATTATAAATTTTTATTTAAGAATCCATGTTTAAAAAAATCATTTTTTTTAAGAAGGAAATATTTTTTTAAAATAAAAAAACACAAGAAATAATTAATTAAATACAAAACTTTGATTAAAAAATCATTAAGTTAGGTGAATATTTTTCTTTACCTTTGATTTCAATAGATTTATTAGATCTATAGCATAACAAAAACTATTAAATTATAATGATCTTTTTTTTTAATAAATAATTTTATCTATTATGTCCGATTCGCAAAGTAGCGACGACAACTATCTAGTATTTTTCTAAGTAGGCTCCCTTTTATGAACGGAGCGTGAAAACGGCTAAAAGTATTATATTTTTCCTTGTGTTTTGATTTTTTTTTTCTCATAGGATAATATTTCATTTGTTAATAATTTGATTGTTTTTTATTAGGATATTTGAAATTTGTTTAACGAGTTACATATAATTATTAGGAATTCACTTGTCAAGTCAAGTAAATTAGGGTTTCTTTGAATTTGAATCTTAATAGAAATAATGGATTGATTTTTGAAAGTACGATCTATATGGAATGGGCGATACTCATCTCTTCGGTTAGGGGTGTTCACTATTCGGTGAAAATCGAATAACCGAACCGAATCGTACCGAAATATCAATTTTGGAGTGGTATTTTTTTTTTAGAAACTACAAAAAAAAAACCGAACCGAAATCTAGCCGGTTTTTTGTTTCGGTTTCATTTTTTTTTTAAATTCGATTAAAACCGAATAATTAAAATTATTAAATTTTTTTTTAAATTCATCGATAAACGACGTCGTTCATTCCAATCCTCACACCCTCACCTCACCCTCATGCAAACCTAAGCTAATTGGAGTTAAATCAATTAACCCATAACCAATTCTTGTTGCATTGATTACATGAGCCAACCGGCTCAATGCCAAATGATCATAACCAATTCTTGTTTATACTTGCCCAAGGAGGTACATAATTTCTTTCTTGATTCAATTTATAGTTTTTTTTTTAAAAAGATGTGAGATAGTGTTTTTTTTTCTATGTGAAAGAAAACTAGTTAATTTATGGACCACGATAATAATTAGTATGTCTCTTTTTAGTAAACACATATAATTTAAAATTGCGCTAAAGAAAGTTGAGTGTTTAAAATTTTAATGTTCTTCATTGTTCAAAAACAACATTGCCATGTAATTAGCCAAGGTTAGCTTATGGCTATAGTGTTTAACAAGTTACCCCAAATTATTAGTTCTAATTACGTTAAGTTAATTAAAAGTGTCTTTCATAAAGACAAATAAGTCGATTATATTTAAGCTTCAAAACATGCTCGTTTCTTTTTAGAAGGAATTGTTAAAATGTTTTAATTGTAACACATATTTGGCGGTATTATCTATTGATACTGATAGACAATAACATATATTATATATTATTAGACTTTATATGGTAATGATGATATCTCATATATATATATATATATCAATTGATATTATATTAGTAATGCCTATTGAGGAGTAGTAAAATAATAGTAAATAGACGAGAGTTCAATAAGATTGAAAAACGTATACATATAGGAACATAGCCTAAAATCGCAATGCAAATACTAAATTTATTTTTTTGAAAGTGCATGATCCTTTCAAAAATCAAAAGTATAGATAATTACAGGTAAAAACCGAATTACCAAATAAAAAAATGATATATTTCAAAACCGAACCGAAAACCGAATAATAATTCGGTTCGATTTTGGTTATTTTTTAGACAATTCGATTAACCGAAAACCGATCAAAAAAGGTTCGAAACCGAACCGAATTACCGAATGAACACCCCTATCTTCGGTCGATTTCGTTTGGCGTAATTGAGCATAGTTTGATTCTAAATCAGCTATCGATAAATTTAGGCCATCAATTGCTACTTACGGTAATTAGCTCCCCGAAATAGAGTATTATAATTATCTAGCTAATTAATTGATGATGAGATTTTTTTCGTATATTGACTTTGGACTTTATATTCTTCATTTTTTTAAATGATTTTTTAATAAATTTTTTTTAGTTTTTGAGATTTCTTACTTTATAATTTTTGTTATAATGCTATCAATCGAGTGATCAACATGTGGTATTGTAAAATAAAAATTTTTGAAATGGTAAATCAATCATTGATTAGTGGCTTTATAATAGAGATTTTGAAGTGAGAAATCTTGAAAATTAGAGGATCTCAACCAAACTAAAATAAAATAGAGCCTCAATAAAAAAATAAAAAGCACATGATCCAAATGTAAGGAAAACTCATTGATGATATGCAAAATCTCTTATTTTTCATCTTTAGACATATTTGGCGATGTTGATCCGATGAATAATGGGTTTGCGCGAGGATTCGACCTTGGTCGCCATGCTTTCGAGACCGGGACCGATCCTTGCATTAAAATCCGCTAGATTTAAGGAGGAGAATGATGATGTGGACAAGGTGAAGCGTGTTTACATTAAGACGAGCGCATGATCATGTTGTCAAACCTCACCAACAAGACGCAATGATAAAGAAGTGGCCACCATCCGAGGTGTATGCATTGGATAGTGACCACGGTCCAGCTTTCTCTACCCCATTTACGCTCTTTGGTTTGCTTCTCAAAGCGAGCAGCTTCGGTTGGATGTCACTAATAAGAGAATGTGATTATCCTCATGGATTGAATACTCCTATATATACACTCTCCTATTGGCTTGATTTTATCCAATAATGGTCATTGTTCCTAAATTTTCGGAGTTAGCTAGCATTAGCAATCATACATGGACAAAATATGAATAAGACTACATGCTATGAGAGTATATTCATTAACCGGGAAGCTTGTAATCCTATTCTAGGGTGCTAGCTCCCCAATCATTTACAAATATACATTTCAAATTTGTGTCTTTTTACTTTTTAAAGATTTATGCATTTATTGATCCCAAATTGTTTGAGCTAAATTAACTTCTGCATTTTTTATTGGATTTCACGCATATTGAGATCTCGTACAATTTAGATTTTTTTATTGAGATCTTAAATTTTTTTTTGTTTAATTTAAGAGTTCTATTCTTATATTGTTATTGTTTCAAACTTTAATATGTTATTTAAGCACACGTGGTAAGCTCTAGCCGATGAAAACTTATCACGTAAGAATCTTTTATTTTTGTTAAAATCCAACTTGGGCCCACCATAACACGTGGTAAGTTGTCATTGGTTAGAGCTTGCTATGTGTGCTTACATGACACATTAGGATCTGAAACAATGATAACATAAGAGTAGAATTCTTAAATTAGACAAAAAAAAATTTATGATCTCAATAAAAAAAAAATCAAATTGTACGAGGGTTTCAATACAAGCAAAACCCTTTTCTTATTAAGCTCCTATCATCTATTGCAATTAAATCATGAAGGTTGGGCTAATGGTTAAAAATTTTTCTCTCTCAGCAATGAAGATTCAAATCTTAAGTGAAAGTAGGTTTATTGTACCATAAAATTATGAACTTAATTTTTTTTTCTAACCATTTTAGCATGTTGATAAAAATAACTTGAAATAAGCTTGTAATGATTATGTTAGCATGAGAGAATCCTTTTGGATAAAATTCGTTTTCAACTCACGTGGCGAGTAGATATGATGACAATAAAGATTAAAAGCTACTTAGGATTTCACTTGGCTTAGCATGTTCACAATTCCAATTGAATTGAAATCCTTATTCTCCTACTTCCTTCTCAATTCTCTTCCCAATTGAATTGAAATCCCCATCCCTCAATTAGCCTAATTCATTCCCAATATTATTCATTGAATATTTCTTCTAAATCTCGGGTTCTTCCACTACTAAACCTAGAGACAAAACCAATATAAATTTAATCTCACATATTGCACTAATTTAAGGAGGAATTAAACTCGTTTCGGTTTCAATCCGATTAGCAATCAAACGATGAATATTTTATGTATGGGTCTTGAACTAGTAGCCAAATCCAAATCCATTAAAAGAAATCAAGAGAACCATAAAGTGATTAAGCTTGGTCGAACAAGGCATCATTTGTAGAGAACTTGACAAGATTTCTATAGGAGTAATGGAAGAAGAAGATGCGAAGGAGGAAAAAAAAAGGCAAAAATAGAAGTAGCAAAGAGAGATAAAGATGATGGAGTTGGTAGTTTTTTTTGTGGTTTGTATTAAAAGGATTAGTAGTGGAGTCTATGTTAAAAGAAAGAATAGAAGCAAATAAGCTTGGTGGGTCTTCTTAATGAGTTGGTATTTGTGTTGGCTTTGTTGATGTTAAAACTAAATTAGAACCCATGTTTAATTCGGATGAAAATTTTTTAGTTTCGTGTTAGTCGGGTGTTTTGTGATGAATTTTGCATATATCGAGGTCCTATACAATTTGAATTTTTTTGACTAAAGTCCTCGGCTTTTTCCTATCTAATTTAAGAGTTCTACTCTTATGTTGTTATTGTTTTAGACCACGATAAGTTAAGTAAGCACATGAGACAAGCTCTAACCAATGATAGCTTACCATGTCACCAATTCACTCACTCAATTTGGGCTTACCATGACATGTGGTAAGCTTTCATTGGCTAGCGCTTGTCACGTGTTCTTACATGGCACATTAGGGTCTAAAACAATAACAACAACAACATAAGAGTAAAATTCTAAAATTGACTCGAAAAAACGTAGGGTCTCAATCCAAAAAATTCAAATTGTATAGGATCTTGATATGTATAAAACTTGTTTTACGAGGTTTATGGTCGAATTAGACCGAGATTTAGCAAGTTTGTGGTCAACTAGAGTTTATAGGTGAGGGACAATGACATGGCGACCGATATTGAGCGAGCATCAATGGCATGGTGGTCGGTAGTGGTGGTTGACTTTTTAAGAGAGAAGATGGTGCTTGTCGGCTTGTAATATTGGATGGATAATTTGGGAATGAATTGGGAAAATTGGAGAAATGATAATTTCAATTCAATGGGGAAGAGAATTGTCAATGGATTGGGAGAATGATGATTTTATTTCAATTAGGATTGTGAAATATGCCATGTGGAATCTTAGGTGGTTTTTAATTTTTACTCGTCATCCTATTAACCATGCCACATCGGCTAAAAAATATTTAAATAAAAAAATTCATGTGTGCTAATATGGTTACTAGAATTTTAGTTTATATGTTTTATGTCCAACATTGAACAAATGTGCTAAAATAATTAAAAACATTTTAAGTTCATGATTTTATGGTATAATAAGTTGTGAAAGTATAATAAAAAGTAAAAAATTAACATTAATCCTTTAGCTCGACATAAATATTATGTTTTTTTTCTTAACATAATTGAAGAGACAAAATGACACATGAGTCTCCTTATTTCAAAGTTTTTCTATATTATTATTATTATTTGTTAGTAGGTGTTTATTTTTGGATTCATTTTTCTGTTTGGAGTCTTTTTCTTTTGTTAGGAGTTTAGTATAGTAGCATGTTATTAGGATTTGTAAAGTTATTTTAATTCCTTTTTTGAATTGAACTAGCCAACATTAAGGCTATATAAGCTTCATTTTGTGCGATTTTTAACATATGACTATTATTATTGATATTGAGGTTTTCTCAATTCTTTACGTCATTCTTGTGATTTACCTTAGAATTACATTTTCTAAATATTTATATTGATATATCAAGGCGGCAATTTGTGATCTTTGTTAGCTATGAGTGGTAGTGGAGTTCTTAAATTTTTCCATAATCGACCCTAGCCGGCGTAGACGTGTGCATTGTTTCTTGTTTTCACAAATCTAGTGTTAACTTACTATCATAGCACTTGGTGATGAGAAAATTCCGGGCGTATTAAAATTCTAATGAGTGGTCAAGTGTCCTACCAATCATCTTACAGCAAAACAAATTAAGGAGTTGCTTCTAATCAAGGTGCAACTTGAGCAAGCCAAGATCAAATTTGACCTTCTTTAATCCAAAACACAATATAAAAAATTATAGAAAAAAAAAAGATCCGGAATCCAAATTTTTTGGTAATTCTAGTTCCTTTGTGCGTTGGATTCAACTTTCAAAATTTGATGAGGATCTCTTTGAGCTTGATGTATGTGAAAATTATGATTTCTTTGTAAATTTGGATCATGAGATTCAAGTCTAAAAGCTCGAAGGTTAAGATGATTCTTCGATTTTGTTACGAATTCATAATTATTGGACAAAAAGTTTTGGTATAGGGTTGACTTATTTTCTAATTGAACTAAAGAAAAAAGATTCTTAATGTTAATTGGGATCTTCCACCAATTTATGATGAAGAACCTATATTTTATTTGTTCTTTAACAAGTTCGAGCATGATTTTTCAATCATCCAAGATCAATTTCCATCACTTTTGGAGAGAAACATTAAGCTAATATTAAAAAAAAGCTTGTGTTAAAGGAATATATGGTACAAGTTGTGAAGTTGGATGGACACTTTTCAAGATAAGAAAGTCAAACTTCAAGAACGAGTCTTCTTTAACCTAGAAAGTTTGACAAGGAAGTGTCTTTTTTTCAAATTTTGCTACTTTATTATTATTATTATTATTATTATTAAGCTTCGTTAGTAGGCCTTTATTTTAGGATTTTTTCTTTTGTTTGGAGTTTCTTTTTTCTATTAGGAGTTTAGTTTAACGAGTATCTTATTAGAATTTTTAAGGTTATTTTAATTTTTTTCTAATTGAATTCTTTTTTTGAATTGGATCGGTCGACTCTAAGGCTTATAAGCCTACTTTTGTGCCATTTTTAATATATGACTATTATTATTGATATTGAATAAAACTTATTAAGATTTTTTTGATTAATTTGCTTGATTCTTATGATTTATCTTAAAATTACATTTTCCGTATACTTGAAGTGATTTTTCAAAGTGGTGATTTGTGAATTTTGTTAGCTATATGTTGTATTGAGTTTCTTGAACCTTGTCATAATTGGTCCTAGCTAGCATGAAGGTGTGGATTGTTTCTTGTTTTTACAAGCCTAGTGTCACAAACTTGATCTTAATCATGAAAAATGATTCAAAAATATTTTTAGCTATGTAAACAAAGAAAAAATCCAAAAGAACTCTAGATACATGGATATTTCAAATTCTCAATGATTGTGTTAATTTAGAAAATCCGTAAATAGATATAGGGTTATTTTTCATTAACTTTTCCAAGGTATTTTGACGAAGTATTCTTTTCAATTAAAATGTTAATGCTAATGGTGATTGTCCATGAAAGAAACGTAATAAAAGAAATAATTTCTTTTTTACATAGACACCACCACAAAACAATACTAAGTTACTTACGAAAAAATCCGTAAGTAATTATAAAAGTTCTATAGGTAATTTTTATTTTTCGATGGAATTTCCATCTTAATAAAAGTTTCAAGAAATTTTGTGTCAATAAGTTTGATTGGATGGTTTGAGTTATTATAACATTGCATTATTTATTTTATTA